ATCTATCTATCTATCTATCTATCTATCTATCTATCTATCTATCTATCTATCTATCTATCTATCTATCTATCTATCTATCTATCATATTTAATGCCTATAGCCAGATGAAAGTCAAACACAATCACACTAATGCAGAATAAAAAAGAACAAGAGAGCTAAGCAAACACCTCTCTTGTATCTAATGATTACATGTCTGTAGTCTCTGCATGATTCTACTATCAGATTGACAGCCTGCCATGTTGTGAGATACTTTCAGACATTAGGAGGATTTCCATTGACTCTTTACTCGTGCAAGGAATATATATGTGTATCAGGAAGCATGATTAGGGAAGTAGTGAATGAAATCAGTGCATTAGCTCCCAGAGCAGTGGAATTGATGGTGAGGCCTTTGCATTGTGCTGCAAGTTACCTCAGTCTCAAAAATAAACCCTCAAAGGGAAAACATCAGGTGTCATCATTAGTTTCGATTGACTGGGTCCGACAAATATTGTCCAAATACTTTAAAAACACACCATACAGGTATTCCACAATAATGACATGGCATTGCTGTACTGTAAGCAAGCACCTTCTTTTCAGTGTTGATGACAATAGAAGACAGAGTCAGTAAGATACTGTCCATTGGATGATCCATCAATCAATCAATCATTCAGTTTTTATTTATGTATCATTATTTTACACAGTCAAGTGACCATAAGTGATACAATTAATAAAAGATATAAAGGTAAGCCAAAACAATTATTGTCACACTTAGGATAATTAAGCCAATAAAAAGAACAAAAATAATGATACAATTTTATCATTATCTCTCTTTTATCACCTCTTCCTTTTATCCTTTCTCCTTTTTTCCTGTTTTTCCTTTCCCGTTCTACTTACATTGCAGTGTCCATATTATCTGTAAAACTCCCTGCATGAATTATAATAAAGCAATTTATATGCATAAATCAAGCGGAACACTATGGCAATAGCCGTACTGCTCCACTTGTGAAGTAAAATCTGTTGGGCTCTTTTTGGCATCAAGACTTTGGGCACTTTAAAAAGAAAAAAAAAATAACAATATAATTTATAATAAAGGAAATAAATAATAATAATAATAATAAAAAAGCTTTTTTTGTGGTGTGGTGTGGATGTATACAATATGTTACCAAATGATATTCATCTGAAATGGATTTTTCTATTGGACAATAAATGCATTGTGGTGCTCTCACAACAATAGTGATTTCAGCAGCCAGAACAAGCAATTCCCATTATCCTTTTGTAGAGGGCTTTTAGGAACACAGCGAAGCAAAGGAAAGTAAAGCGATACAAAACAAGGTGTGTATCTCTGGAGGATCCGGTGGAGAAGGAACACTGCTGCTGGCACCTCCTCCACTCTTCTGCTATTCATAATAAGCCAAGCACCATATCTCAATCTGTAAAATCCTAATCTCTTATGATAAATTACAACAAAAAACAGTTAGAAGCTAATTTCATATGATATCATGGAGGAGAATTATCGCATGTGAGTTGCTGGCAAAAGTTTAAATGAGCAACAGAACCTAAATGTGACGGGAAAGAAATCCTGAAATTGGTGTGAACATAACTTTGGATCTTATTAGAGCCCTGTCAGCGACAGATGAGGCAGAGATGTGCATGCTCATCATTAAAGTGTAGAGATTTAATGATGAGCTAATGATGATGATAGAGATGCTGCCCTCTCTGCATATTACTGGAGTTGGAGAAAGAATTTACCTAATTTCTGATAAATTTTTTTTTTGTTTCAAAGCTTACAAATTAAGATTTTGTACTGAACCAACTCCTTCTGGAATTTTTTAATTCAGTTTTCATTTAGTATTCATATGGAACCAATTCATGACAAAGGTTTTCGGACTGGGTCACCGGGGTGACGGGTCCATTAGGTAACCCGGGTCGTCCATTTTACCATCAACATCCCCTAGCTCATTCTGGGGGATCCCAGGCCACATGAGATATTTAGTCCCTTCAGTTAGTTCTGAGTCTCCCCAGAGCAAACTAAAGGGAGAGAACTAACCTGTGGGATAAAAATGGAAATGCTCCAAAATGAGCCACACAGAGAACCTCTTGATCGGTTGCCTGAACCACCTCCAACCACTTGTTCAATTCCAAGAAGCAGCGACTATTCTTTGCTCTGTTATTTAGATATTTACTTTATAAAAACCCTGCTTTCTATTTACATTAAGTTTCCTTCCAATATAAGTTTATAAAGTCAAGCATTGATGCCTTGGGAAGTTGCAGCAGTTGCAGCAGTTCCAGAGCCTGTTTAATTAAATATTATCTAACCAGAACAGGAACTTATAATAGTTCTGATGGAGTGTGCTGCCGAGTTCGGCCTGCTGCAGAGTGTGAGTCAGTATCCTTGACTGTGAGGTACAGCGCTGGGGCCCCCTGAGGCCCAACAATGACTTTGGTGGGTTCTTGTGTTGCAGGGGTTGATTTGCTGAGTCAGCACCCTGCTGCAGATCCCTGCATCTTAACACACTTGACACCAAACACACTGAATGGCAGTTTTCCTTTATAAAGGTGCCTTTTTATTTGTTAGTTAGAAAAAAGTCGTGGGTGTTTTAACCATCTCTGATTTTAGAATAAATGATTATGAAGCACAAACAATGTATGAAATATTAGTTTTACTTTTTTGTGGACCGATAGGTTTGGTTTGGCTATGAATGACTAATAATAAGTGCCAAAGGCAGTTGTTAATGAGGTTAGTCATTTTGTGAAAATGTTATTTTCACAATGTACTTTTGAATCTCCTTTTCCTCCTGTTGTGCTGCTGCTGTCTGAGTCTTTTATTTGATTCAATATGTGTGAGTCTAATCTCATAGCGCTACATAAGCTGCTAAGAGGGCTAATAGCATGGATTAATGATTGTCCAGGGGCTCTGCACCCCCAGGACCATCTACCAGTAGTCAATTTGATTTTTATAAACATTTTCTATGTCTGTTTCTATGTTTTTGAACACCGATCAGCTTTGGCAGAGGGCCTCTGACACACTCTGCTCCTGTAAAAAGGGAGTTTTTTTACTGAATTGAATTGAATTGAATTGAATTGAATTGAATTGAACTGAACTGAACTGAACTGAACTGATCGGATCAGTACCAAACAAATATTAGCATTAAATTAAATGAAAGCCAAAAGCTTTACTCACTCACTTAGTCCCTCACAATCAAAACACATAGTTGTAATGAAACATACTAAACCAAAATGAACCAAAACTGAACCAGGAATGGTGAATGCTTTAAAGTAAAATATCCCATATACAGTATAAGTAAACAGATCATTTTTTATAATTTCTTTCTTTTAATTCTGATGGGAACATCGCTCTCAGGCCCCCCTACTGACCAGCCTAACATAATTTATGCAGATTAGTGAGAGGAAATAAAAGGATAGATAAAATGGATAAAACTTGCTTCATAAAACTGAGCTTCACCTATCATTAGCAAATTTTTATCCACCCAGATACCAGACAAATGCCTCTACAATTGATGTAGGCCTGTACCAGCATATACCGTCTGAAGCAATAGGAAAATTCAACTGCAGTAGTAAGACATCTCTGAGACAAAATTCCCATGAAATGTAAAATTTACATCAACATCAAGTTTATTCAGTTTTAACGCAAAAAAAAAAAAAAAAAAAAAAAGTTGATTTTGGGGTGAGTTACACTTTAACAAAAGAAATAGGAAGGATCAGTATCATTTGCCTTTGGGTCCTCAGCAAATTAAGAACCAAAAAACAGAGCAAAATGCTGTAAAATAAATGACATCTAAATAGTTTTTCTAGACTATTTTTCTCTGCCCAGACACAGACAGGTGAACTGCCAGGGCCAGTGGGTTGTGTGACGGGTCTAATATGTAGAGAAGATGTAGCAGTTTGGACAAGCGGCTGTTGGAATCGTGGTTAATCCCGTCTGTTTCTGGCGGTGGGGAAAACCACTTCCACAACATTTTTAGGGACAGTGTCTCTAATTGGTTATCTCTAGTTCTTTAAGAACCTGTTTATTGTAAAGGCAATCCTTATTTGTGTGGGGGATACAGTCACTCAGACTATAGACAGCAGATTGTGCTTTAATTATGATTAGTTATTATTTTCAGAAGCATTAATTTAAACAATTTGTACACATATTTCAATTGTTCATTTATGTTCATTTGGGAGCATAAAGATAGTTATTTTAGTCCTGGGTGCTGCATGACTCAAGGTGGTACGGTTATAGTGGGAGCGTCTGCTCTCTGTAGTGACTGATAGGCTTTGGAGCTGCTTGATGGATGATCAGAGCGTTTGCTGCAAACATGCATTCTTTTTTTCTTTGCAAGGTTTAGTTCAGTTTAATCCCTGTTTATTTTGTGCAATATAATCAAAAACCCTGTTATTCAATCTGTTTTCACTTGTTTTTATTAATATGGGAATTACCCCATCTGCTTACTTTTTCATCATCTATATAGTTTTTTTTTTATTCATATGCAAAAACAAGCTTTGCTCTGGGTCTGCTTTGAAGGATATTAGTCCTGCTGCCTGGGAGCAGCCTGGGGGGGAAGGAGGCAGACGGCTTCCCCGACTGACCTATTTTCCCCCTCCAAGGTTCCTGAGGGAGGCCAGCATTTTTTCCTCTATCGTCTGTCTTAGAAAATGAGGAAAAGGGGAGTAAGATTGAAGTTTGTGGTTTTCAGAGCAAGGCAGGTGAAAGAAAATGAAAAAGCAAAAAGATGATTCAACTCCAAATCATCAGGAATCTGCTAATTAGATTGGCTGAGTGATTTCAGCTGGATTTCTTTGCAGTTTACCTCTATTTATCAAGTTGACTGATCATTTTGTTCCAGCAAAAATCAATGAAGATAAGCATTCTCTGTATTTTTCTGACTAATTGCACACATTGCAAATTAAATAAACAACATGCAATCATCTAGCAGAATAAACTTAAGGTAGATTTTCTTCACTAAAACCAAATCTGTAAAGTTGAAACTGAGATTAAAAACTTTGGGCTATGCCTGTTCAATAAGAACATCTGTGTTCTATGCAACCAACCTAAGAAAGCTGTTATCATCCAGCCGCTCTTTCCTCTTCCTCACATCCTGTCGTTGCTTTTTCTCTATCCCCTTGTGTCTTTATCTCTCCTTCATCTCTTCCTCCTCTTCTTCCTTTCTGTCTCTCCATTAGGAAGCACTCTGGGCACATGGCTGGCTTTAAATTGAGATATAAAGTGATTAGATGGTGGATGCATTTCTGATTGTGATGTGTTTTGTTTTGCCTTTTTTTTTCTCTCCGGTGGTCCATCATGCTTTTTTGCAGTTTTGGTATAAACTAATTAAAAAAGACTGAAACAAAACTGAAATCTGAAAACCACAGGATGCATAAAAATGGAAACCCTTCCAAGCATAATTTAATTTATCTGGATTTTACTCTAAGAAGATGAGAGAAATCCCTAAAATGTATTGAGTAAGGGAGCGACTAACAGCTGTGTGTCATGTCTGTGTGCAGGAGACCTGAATGCTCTGAAGGAGACTGCCTTCACCTTACAGGAAGGAGCCAAATACAGGCTGAAGGTTTACTTTAAGGTATGATATGATTCATGATTTGGTGTCAAGTTTAAGAGGAAAAAAAGCCTTATTTTTTAGATGAGATGCGTTTATATAAGACATGAGAATATGAAGTGTTTTTTTTTTTTTTGTGATGCTAAAAGATTTGATCAACATAGTTAAACTCAAGTAACAGCAGGAATTTTTTTTTCATATTCAATTTCATATTCAATTTTTCAAGTTATCTGAACAGATCAAAGTCTTTAATAAGACCTGGTCTAGACTCCAATAGTCCCTGCTTAAAATTCGACATTTGTTTTTGAAATTATTTGTCTTCAACCAGGAGAGTCTCCCCCTAGTGGGTCTTGAAGGTTCTCCAGGGGGGTTAATTGATTATTTTAAAAAGATTTTTTATACATTTCTTTACAAATGTATCAAAATTTCTCATGAAGATCTAATAGCAGAGGAGTCATTCTTTATTTTCTTTTAAATTTAGGGGACGTTTGTTCTAAAATGCTCTGAGCTAAGCAGGTGAAATCTATATGCACCTCAACCACATATCTGAAGTTAAACCCTGGGTTTAATGGCAAGGGGTTCTTCAATTGTTGGATCCCTGGTCAAAAATTTATTTTATTCACTTTTGACTATATGTTTTGTAATTTTTTTACTTAAGTTTAGAGTAGCTTTAGAGACACTATTTTTTTTCCATATAAACACCTATTTCCTCTTTTTGCAACATCAGGGGACAGAAAAACAACTTTCACAATACATCCCTGAAAAATCTATTTCTTTCTTCTCCAATATGTGTTACTATTTTGTTTTTGGGTACAATGATAGCTGTTTGACGGTCTTAACATATAAAGGCAAGTTAAAATGGGCAAGTTAACAGTTTTAGGGTGAGTGGTTGCCTTGCGGTTAGGGCATGCGCTTGGATCCCAGAGGTTCTGATGTTCAAGCCTCACTACCACTGTGGGTCGCTAAGCAAAACCCTTAACCCCACACTGCTCCCTTGGCGCCACACAATGGCCGCCCACTGCTCCCCAAGGGATGGGTTGAGTGCAGAGAGTGAATTTTGTTGCTTTGTACTTCTGACAGTGTAGTGACAATAAAGTAGAATTCTGTTCTTCTATTCTAAAAACCTCACAGGTCATTTGTGTCACATAATTTTTGGAGTTTTATCCATTAATTTAATTTTTCAATTTGTTACAGCTAGCTGTTAACACGTTAAACAATTTTTTTAAATCAATTTAACCTGACATTATGATGACCTTTTAAGGCTGTTATAAGTAAATATCACTTTAACATGGAGGTTTCAAGGACCATCCCAAAGCCCCCAAAACTGGACCCTTGATTGCCCTGACATACATTTACATTTCCCTTCATAGATATTTTATTTTTTTGCAGTTCTGGCTTTAATATTTGCTGTATAAATATATTTAAATAGCAGCACTATTGGGAAAATAAAATGATAATATTAATTAATTAAGAGGAGCTGTGCTGTGGGGACCCCTCCTGGACAAACCGGTTTACAGTCTTTGTCAAATCGGATTTCCTGAATTGCACAAAACCTTACCTCAGTCTCAGAGAAAATGGATTTAGAAAAGAGTTAAAGAAGTGAGAATGATGTATATGCATGTCTGTGTTTTCTTCAGGTGAACAGAGATATTGTGTCTGGCTTGAAGTATCGACAAGTGACCTACAAGAAAGGAGTAAGAAGTAGGTTAAAGTTTTTTTTTTCTTTATGTTTTAGATGTTAGTAAGCATCTCTTTTTGCCTTGAAGCCTAATTTATATTTTGTGTTTGCCCCACAGAGAACACTGCAGTCTGCATGATGGGAAGCTACGGCCCACGAGCAGAGGAACAGGAGTTCCTGAGTCCAGCTGATGAGGCACCTAAAGGGATGATGTCCCGAGGCCAGTATTTGGTCAAATCCTGCTTCACTGATGATGACAAGAATGTCTACCTATCTTGGGAATGGATCCTCAGCATCACAAAGGATGGAATTTAACAGGGAGTGCCGGGAAACTGATGGCAAACATTGCTTTTTATCCATCATATTTTACCCATGTCAACATTTTCCTCTCTAATTGCATTCGCCAAAAAATAAAACTCTGTTCACGGTTCTGTTTTTACATAATTCTCCATGTGTTCTCCATCAATCCTAACTAATTTTTTTCTTTTACCAGATTTTTGCCTTATCTTATCATCATATGGAGTCAGTTTGGTCGGTGTTGAGCACATGGCAGGATGATATTTACCATGAAAATATGTAAAACAATAGATGTGGCTGCCTCCAAGATCAGCTCAATTTTTGTGCTTGACAGTCAAGAGGGTGAAAAAACTGAGAAAGAAAATAACACACACTGTAAAAGAGAATAAGTGATTGAAATAAACCCTCTTAAACACTAAGGAAAAACTCTGGAAGATAAGACTGTCATCTAAATCTAGGTTCATATGCTGGGACACAGCTCACGGAGGCAGAATGGTGTTATTTTTAGTAAAATGTAAAATATGCTGTACTCTAAACACATAGTTACACATATTATTTGCTATTTACACCATTAATCCAGATGCCGAACTCTAATAAGTGTGCATAATGAAAGCAGGAAAAGAAATCCTCCTTACAGCTGTTGATTGCTTTGTGCATCATTGACCTGTGTAACATTTAGATGCTTCAGCGAAGGAAAGTTCCAGCGATATTTTCTGTCACATGTCTTTTAACTAGTGTACATAGTGTCTTTTCAGTAGAGTTTTAGCGGTGTATCAGGGGTTAGGGTCGGGAGAAAATAGTCTATTGTACTTATTTTATTTGAATTATTTAAAATAGGGACTTCCAGATATTTTCAGGAAGTTAAATAAGTAAACTCAATAGCACAGCTAAAAGAAAACTCTTTGACCAAAGTGATGCAGAATTTCTCAAATATTCACACTGACAACAAAACTGTAGCACCTGAAAGAACTTACTTAGTACTTTTTAATTAATAGAACATGATAGCTTGCAATTCTCATTAAATTCAATTCCAAAATGCCTTTTTAAACCCAAAGGACATTAAATGTTGTTACAGAGATTTATTGACTGAATTGTTGTAGATGTGAATAGCTGGAGGCAGGAAGAATCTCCTATGACGTTCAACAGTATGATGAAGAGGGTGCACAGGGTTATCCATTATGTTCCCCATTTTATACTTATTTTCTAAATAACGTGGAAACGAAAATCAAAAACCGGCGAGTGAAAAACAAATCGCAATATATTAATACATTTCTATCCTGCTTAATCATGACTTCATGGAACTCAACTTTACATCATTTTCTAAGGTGATACAAGCAGGAAGCAGAGAATGGATATAATCAAATAACATAAAGCATGAGTCAGATGTAGTTTGGTCTGGAGCAAAAACAAGGATTTCAGGGTTTAATAATCTGACTTTCCTAAAACTTTCCTATTCTCTTTTCCTCCAAAATTACCTTTTTAAAGCACTTAATGTAAGACATGATATTTAGAAACCCCATCAGGCTTGAAATGTATAAACAAACATGTTTAGTGTAGCACTATTTTTGTAATATTGCACTAAATGAACTGAAGGGAAGCAGAATATAGCAGAAACTAAATGGCCCCAAAACTGGACTCTGAGGAACACCATAAGGTAGACCTGTCAAAGATTTGTAATTCAAACCCTATGAACTATGGTTTTCAAGAATGTAGCCTTTTTTCCACTAGATTTTTTTAAGGGAAGTATCAGAGCACAAGGGGACAAAAACAATAGTCTTTAACGTAAAAACACTCTATTATTTCTATCTCAAATATATGTTAGCTTGTATTCCCTAATAAAATCCTTGGCTTTATGGCTGTGATGTTACAAAATGTGGGGATGTTCAAAGATTATCGGTTGTTTTTCCATGCTTGTTCAATATTACAACATTGCAAAACCTTCCCCATGTTGTCCGACATCGTGTTTCAGACCGATTTGTTATGGTAGAGAGTATTTGGTAATAATCACACAGCAGGCAAACTCAACCCAAATCCAATCTTTTTACCCATATGCGGCTCATATCCTGCCTTTTCAAAGCAACTCAAAAGCTTCATTCCAATTGTTTTTTATTTCAGCCCTTTCTATAGGTGCTACTAAATTGGATTTATATCCGATAGTTTTCCAGGTAACTGCAATCTGAATGTTCAGGCTGCATTTCATCCAGCTTCTACATTATTCACCTTGCTTCTGCTGCACATCCAGGCATCTCTGCAGCAGCAGTAGTTTCTGGCTGCTTTGAAAACGGTTGTAAATAGCTCTACATTGTTCTTTTTTTTTTTTTTTACTTACCTTCCTTTTTTGTGAATGATGTGGTCTTGCTTTTTTGTTCCTAACAATTATTATTGTTATTGTTATTATTTTGATGCCGTCATTTCATCCCATAAACAGTGTGCAGCTGTGTGATATCTAAATTCTCCTTCTGCACATGCAGGTCACTCTGATGTCTTGAACACTTCACTACAGAATTCTGATCGCATCACATTTAATTAGCAGCATGAAAGGCAATGCCAGAAAAATGGTTTTCAGAAAAAAAGTGGAATTGAGCATCAAGCATTAGCTACCCTTTTATCCATCACACGTGTAGCCTTTTGCTCTAAGAAGATTTAAAGGTCAAAACAGCATGCTGCTGCAGGTAAAATCATTTTGATAATGCATTACTGAGGCTCAATTAAACCTTTATGTGAAAACTTAAGCTCAGTGAAATGAAATGAGTTTTGTTCTTTGCTTGAAAGGAGCAGGCTGATGAAATTGAATCTATTGGAAGAATGCTAAAATATATGATTTACATATTTTTTTAACAATAATAAATTAGCCACTCCAATGAGTTACAGGCAAGCAGAGTGCTTTTAAATCCATATACAGGTTGCCGGCATGAAAACTTTCCACTTCGATATTTCTTAATTAGCCTAAACTTTAAGCCTGAACAGAACAGAGAGGGAAACTTGTAGAAATTATGATAAATGCCTTTTAACAGATATGTCTGTCTGGTCATTTTAAAGCAGGATAAGAAAATGATTTCATTTTAATTTATCTTATTTCTCTGGCACTTTTTGAAAGAGCACACAAGTAAAAAAAAAAAAAAAAAAGTTCCTGAACTGTGTATAATGTAGAAAGAGATGCATGTAGGTCCTTTGATACTAGTCGCATAACGAAAAATACGAACCAAATCCTTTTTCTCTGGTAGATTTCTTGGGTGCAAGTTGTAAATAAAGTTTTGCTTTGTGGCTATGAGATCTTTGGAGATCAGAGATTTCCCCCTTTGAGATACATGGTTATCTCATGGAAAATGCAAAATACCACTACTGTGCTGTGTTTGAGTATGCTGTTGTCATTGTAGGTGAACATATTTGAAGTAACTGATTAATGAAGCTCAATCTGAGTGATTTCTTGTGGTTTGAGGCTAATTGTAAATGTTGGCTTGTTGGGTTTTGCATGATTTAGCGAGATGCTTTATTTGCCTTTTTTTATATAACTCCCCATGACAACTTAATGTCACAGGAAAAAAAAAATGACTAGCACATTTACTGTGATGTCAACACCTGCTAATTGAAGCAGGTATAGTTGGTACAAGGTTAAGTTGAAATAGAAGAAACCTTGAAAGTCTTTGTATCTCCTGCAGTTAACAACCAAATGCTGCATCTTCAAATATTACTGTCGAATTCTAAAATCATGTATTGTTTAATAAAGTCAATTTGAAAAAAACGCTAGGATGTCTTGTTTGAAATGCTTATCCTGTCAAACCATGTAGAAGAGAGGAAATACGAAGGCATTTTCATACTTTATAAAGACATTTAAAAAAGGAAACATGTGGACTTAAATAGAGCAGATGCACCACTGATCTGCTTTTCAGTTTTTGGCACTTTGGTTGAAAATCTTACTAAAGAATACTTGGGCTGCTCTGCATCACTTACATTAGACCACATGCATTAACAAAACCTCACTTCTTTTCCTATTATAAAAGCTGACCAAATATGGCAGATGTCTCACCTCTTCAGAGAGGAAATAAGAACTTATAAGGGAAATCTCAGGCACTGTGACATATCCATGCTTGGCACAAAACACCAATGTTTATTTGCAAAAAAAAAAAAAGAAAAAAAAAACAGCTGAAAGGACAGAAATGCTTTAAATATGACAACTATTGGTAAATCAAAGTAATAGTGGCCTTCAAACACAAGTGAAACATTTCTTACTAGAAAACTATTATAGTAAAATCATTATTTTGGCATAATGAGATCGAATTCTTAAGACTAGAAAACTACCCAAAGGGCGCAGATCTTTGCCAAGCTTGTTTTCCCAACATATTATGATTTCCTCCTTAATTCAAATCCTGTATTCAAAGGATCTTTAAAAAAAAAATCCTTTATCCAAATGATGATGCGGACCATCACCAAAATCTAATAAACATCCATCCAGACAAACCAGTGCCGATGAAAACATAACCTCCATGGCAGAGATTATAAATACCTTACTGTACATGAAACTCTATATTCAATATGCTGCACAAAACAATCTAACTTGGAGTCTTTAATGTAACAATTCCACTATAAAAAGGCCAGTTTGATGTTTTTTTTTTCCTACTTTATTCGCCTTGTGAAAATCCCCAAATTAATACATGATGGGCAGAGCAACAAAAAGGTTCAGGATAAATGCTGTAGAGGAGCAAACAACTACATTCATAAACAGCTTTGAGAAAAAATGTAAAGCAAAAAAAACAAAACAAGCAATTATGGAAAGAAAATATCTCTCAAGGGGAAGTAAAGATGGATAAATAGAGATACATATATTTGGTGTAGATGGTGTGCAAAATGCTTTAGAAGTGAGTCACAGGATGCAAAAAAAGGAATGTTCTTTACCTATGCTGTCATGTTCATATTAATCACATTTCCTGAGGGGAAAAAATGATTTAACTCCTTCTGATTGGGACCTTCTGTTCAAAAGGTTTGAAAGGAGGGAAATAAGTTTGAAACAAGGAGAGGCTTTGATGTGCTGTTTCCATGATGCTTAATTTACTCTAGAATACCTTCTGTAAACAATAAAAGTCTCTAACGTAAACATTTAGTTTCCAAGATTAATATGGCTGCTTCTTTTCAGTAAAAACCCACATTTCCATGGATGACTTGAATAAGAGAAAAAGATACCAATAACACATGCTGGTAATTTCCCATCTTTACTCATTTTATCCATTGGCAGCATTGATCTACAAAAAAAAGCGTCTGCTGTTACATTTTAATTCATACAAACCCTGCGAATATGTATATATATTTGTTTATTTGATGGATTTAGGAGAATATTTGATTTTCTGATTTAATTTATAATACAAAATCAGGCTCTTAACAGCTGCTCTTCTACCAGCAAAAGACAGAAAGTACAATCATAACTAAAATAAAACAAACGGCATTTTAAGCTTTAGATTCAATTGACTTTTTCTCATAGAAATTAATATATTGTCTCTTCAACAGATTTTGAGACACATTTAATGGGGTAATTTTATTTATTCAGCTATCTATAGATGCATTTTCCTACAAAAAAACAAAACTTTAAAATACTTCATTGTTTAATTTTCAACCTATATTAATTTCCTTTCTATTGAAAGATGAACATGTTTCAGCTACAACAAACAAATACAAACAAGAAACTTAATGTTTTAATTCTCCTTCTTCTTTTCTTCATTTCAGCTCATAATTTCTCCATAAGGGGAAAAAAAAAAGCATACTTGATCCAAGGGATGGTCACACCATTTGCATGATAACAAAGACGTCAAGTTTGTCCTTTAACAAAAAATGCATCCTTGTCCGTCAGTCCAGCTCATTTGGGAGTTGCAACAGTGGTGTTGTTGCTGCTGAGAGCCTGTTCCAGCAGGGCTCGCTGGGCCGTGGCAGGGAGGTACAGGAAGGAGTAAAGCAGTGCCAACAGCAGGAGCGCCAGCAGCAGAGGGAGACCCCAGTCCGAAATCATGATGGGCTCATCGCAGCGAGCCTGCAGGAATGATTTAGGCATGATGGACCGTTTTCATGCCAGTTTAAAAATGCATGCCTTATTTAGCAAAGTTGCATTAAATAGATGTGATTCAAAAAAAGTCCTTCAAGGCTTTAAGAATCCAAAGAGTGAAGCAAACGCAAGTGTGTCGGCTCTGTAAAAAAGTCAAGAGTATACAGGCCTTTCTTCAGGCGGTGAACCAATAAAAAAAGAAAAAGAAGCTTCAGTTTCAACTATGATTCAGGAAAAATCAAATACAGAAACAATATCCTTATTAAGTTGATTAAATTGCTATGGATGCTCCTGTCCTTCAGTGACGCATGTCACCCTCTCTTCTTTATCTGACTTAAACTTCCGTGATTTGCAGTGATGACGTTGGCCTGCTGAGTCACATGCATCTCTTTATTTCTAAGAGTTCAAAGCTTTCCCATAGGTGCACACAAACACAAAGAAAACCAAATTGTGTTATGAAATATGGCTTATGTGGTGAGCGTTAATCATCCTAGCCCAAGAACAGACCCCTACCTGCAGTATGATGGGATTGGTATGATGATCCAGGACAGTCTGTCATGAGCTCTGGGCCATGTGAGGTCATCGCTTGACATTGGAATGATGTTTTCTCCTAAGAGCTTATGTAAAAAAAGACATATGGGTTTTAGTGCAAACAGTCTCCACTATCTGCAGATTATTTCCAGGTATTTAATCTCTTGTGGGGTCAGTCGCACTATGAGAAAGACTGAGGTCACATGTATTATGTTTATCCACTCTGTAGGCAACAGGCTGCTCAGAGGATGCTTAGATGAATTAACCTAGAAGCTTTATTTATCTATACAAACAACATTAATTTACTGGATCTTTCATTGATTGAGATCATTACCAACACTAGAAAAAGCACGAATTTATGCCCACTTATAACCAGGGAAAAAATACAAATAGACTTAGAAAGATTTAATTTTGTCAAAAGAGATTTCACTTAAAGATAAATCAAATAGCACACCCAGCTAAACTAAATGACAATATTCATAAATACCACAGTAGATCTTTTAGAACGGAGGTCCTACAGCACCAGTTTTAGTAAACTGGGAAAGTTTTTGTGAAAAAATGCCTCTCAAATGATCTATTAGAGGACGTCAATAGGAAACATTATGAATGCTTTTAGAACTGCTGTAACACAATAAAGAACATTACAGTAACATCTTATATAACTTTTTTATTTTATTTTATAGGTAGTGGTGGCCTAGTGGTTAGTGCATAGAGCATAAATCCCTGACCTATCCCCTTGGGGAGCAGTGTGCTGCCATTATGTGGCACCCGGGGAGCAATCAGACGTTTAGCGTTTTGCTCAGGAACCCAGAGAGAAGGCTGTGGGGATCGAACCAGTTACTCGCAACCTTCTCAGAGCACAAGGGCACTGCTCTAACCCAGTAGGCCAACACTCCCCCAATGGTAAAAGTAGAATTCCAGTAAAGAGCATTTCCATTACCATAAATGTCCCATTTGTTATTTAATCCAGGATATTTCTACACAAAGTGATCCCACTCTACAAGACTGTGGAAAAAACTCCACTTTACCAATTTAAGGCTTATAGTGTTATTGTCAGGGGTTTTATTCAAAAAGTATTAATTCAAACGTTCAATAAGTCTGTTTTAATATGTAAATGAGCAAATAGTCAGTAAAGGCTAATACGGTATATAGATCTACAATCTATGGCAATAATAAAGTTAACTCAGAAAATAAATAAGAACATCACTAATGTTTATAAAATTAAGGGAAGCATTTTACTCTATTTATCCAAACAAGTAATCAAAGGAATTGTGGCTAAGCTAAGCAGAGCCAAGCAAAGTAAAAGATGAAACAATAATTTTTTTCAAGCATTGTTAATTTGATTTGATTGTTACGCTGTCTCATTTTAGTTACAGTTACTTTGACCACTGTAGTTGTGAGGTTATTGGTTTAAAGAAAGAAAGAAAGAGCTTAAGTGATGAACTGCCCTAAAATCTAAATTTCTTGTATAAATAAATAATTTTCAACTAATAACCTCCCATGCAGATTAAATAAAAATACCTGCTGCATGTGATGCATATGATATTGAATGTTTTAGACATTTTAATGACAAAGCATAAAGAATCAAATTAAAACTTTTCAAAAATCCAAATAATTTTCTTTGATCGTTAGTTGATACAAGATAATGATATCTAAGAGAAATACCTGCTAATAGTAAAACTGATGATGCCATGAATTAGTTGAAAAGATGTTCAAGATCTTTTTTAAGATCTTCAGTTTCTCTAGCTTCTTACACAGATTTATTTTGTCATTCTGTATACATGTGTATTCAAAAAGAAATTTCGTTTAAACATCTCTAGAAAATTTGATTTTTTACAGTGCAGCCTTGAAAAACAGTAATTAATACATAAAAATATAGTAATATAAACATATGACTGTATATTTACAGTTCTAACATTAATATATTATATATATTTATTTATTTTTCTTCGCATGGATGAACAACACATGCTGGTTTGGTTCACTGGTGACCCAAATTCTAAGAGAGTGTACTATTGCCTATCTCTGTGAAAACACAAAGAAGAAGAATAAAATAAATTCCACAGAGTAAATCTTAAAATCAGTATTCATTCTTCAGAATTCCTGATTTATAGACATATATTTTACAGTTAAGCAAACAATATAACTCTGATTCAGTTGTCCTGGAAATTAGGTTAAAAGTTGCCTGAAATATTTGTTTTTTCTTACATCATTGAGAATATTGCAAATGTGTTGTCAATAAAGTCTTGTGTAAACACAACAAGAAGAACTTTGATTAATAATTTTGAAATTTTAAATGCTAGTTGTATTTGGATGGTGAATATGCAGAAAAAAAGGTAAATTAAAGATAAAAGTTTAATTATTTATGGTATAAATGAATATTGTTTTTTGTGTGTAATTATCCTATACATTTATGTTTTAATATAATGAAACATTTTTCTCTTTTAATAAAAGATCTGATGTTGAAAATAAGAATTTTTATTATCATAACACATTAACACTCAGTGTGAATTAGTGTGACAGATATGATAACACAACATGCTTAAGTAAAAACATCGTCTTGTATATAATCAAGCCAGAATCCGTCAGTTGCATTCATTTCATTTGAACTATACAAGTAAGAAAAAAAATAATTTTTATTCCTGCTTTTTCAATCCTCCAAACCTACAGGTGGCGACATAATCCCAATCGATGGACGGAAATCAGGAAGAAAAAAAAATCATAATCTGCGCATGCGCAGAAGTGAGCTCTGAGACGTGTTTCTGTTTACATGCTTTACAGATGCTCTGCTCATCTTCGGTCTTATTTTAAGTCAAGGTAAATTATTAATAGCGGATGTATGAACGTGTTTTCTTGAGGTGCAAATGTCATTTTTTCGACACTTTTAGCTAAACGTTGTTTACATATATGTTTAAGAGATAGTGGTGGAACAGTGGGACAGAGAAAATGGGAATGTTTTTCAAAAAAAAGTGGATGGATTTAGAAACTGTTTTAGAAATGAGATAAAGATGATCTATTAAGGATGAGATTTGATCAGGATATGATAGCACGCTTAAAGTTGTAACAAAAAAAAATAAATAAAACAAAAAAACAAGCATAATCTAAACGTAACAACATAAAATTGATTCAAACATTCAGGATATTTTTTTTTCTTCTATTAAATACCTGCCTAGAAGTTTTGGGAATTTATTAATCCGACAAATCTCAGAAATTGCTTTGGATAAATTGTTGAAATGACTCCATAAAAATATTTGCATGACTTTTTCATAATTTTTCAAATTTCGATTGCATGTTTAGTTTGATTATAATGCACCTTAATAGTGTCAGCATGATTTTCTGTTATTCAGGTATGTGCTTGTTAAACCCCAATAATACCTACCTGTTACATGTTAAGGTTAATGTTTTACCCAGCAGTTTATCTAACTGTGACAGTTCTTCTGTCAGGATAAAAAATGATACATAATAATGCAAATTCAGCCTCTTTATGTATTACTGTCTGTTGCTTATATGTTGGCTCCCCTGAAGTACAGGATCACAGTAACAGAAAACTTATTGAGAAAAAACAAGGGATTTAAATTTGGAATTATAGCAGTTATGAAACAGAGATGTCAGAAGGCTAGAAGTTTATGCAGTCAGAGATTAAACACTTGATATTGACTATTGGAACAGATTGCAACGCCTAGTCATGTTTGCATCTTTTTTTCTTTTTGTCCTGATCCAGGCTCTGCATGATTGGATTGATTTGACAGCTGGTCAGAATGAGCTCAGAGCCAGCAAGCATTGAGAGCCTGCGGGTGTTGTACCAGAGCGATGACTACATTATTGTGGACAAACACTGGGATATCCGCATAGACAGCAAGATGTGGTACGAGAAGCAGACGGTGCAGCTTCAGCTTCAGCATCATTTCCCCCATCTGGCAGACCCCAGCACCTACTATGGATTCAGGTAAAGGATCACATCCGTTTACATTTTCCTTATGCTTTGTAAACAGTTGTAGTTACACCTTATTAACGTCTCCTCCAATAGGTTTTGTCATCAGCTGGATTTTTCCACCAGCGGAGCTCTTTGTGTCGCTCTCAATAAGGCTGCTGCTGGAAGGGCCTACCGCTGCTTTAAGGACCGCACTGTTACTAAAGCCTATATAGCTTTGGTAAATCCTACATAAACCATTTGTGTCTCTTACAGAAATGGTGTCAGCGAATGCCAAAAAACATTTGTTTATTAAACACATTTGATGTAGACTAAGCTACTTTATTCTACATCCCAGGTTCGTGGATGGGTGGAACAGGAGACACAAACTTTGAATTTTGCTATTGGCAAGAACTCCATGGAGGGAAGAACACATATGATGTGCATTGAAGGAAGTGAAGGTAACGGCACTTTGAAATAAGCTTAAATTGTTTGGAATTGGATAATTTTTATGTTTATAATTTAATGTGACTTCAGAGAATGTACAACCTTGGATATAAAGTCAACCACAGACAATTTGCTTTAAGGTTTGCAGCATTTTTTTCCTAATTTTTGCTCCACAGGTTGTGAGAATCCAAAGCCTTGCCAAACTGAGGTGACGGTGTTGGAATACGGGATGTATGACGGAGACCCGGTCACCAAGGTGCTGCTGCAGCCACTCACTGGTACCCAAACTTATTTCTGTCCTTTCATTTTTTTTAAAAACTACATTTGCAAAAACTCAGCTTACAGACAAAAAAATAAACAGAAATCCGGAACGTGTTTGATGCATTTATTTTCAACAACTTAAAATAGTGTCACACTCTTAATGTCTCCCAGACTTCCATTCAGTCAGATCAGAACTTAAGGTTACTTTTTGAGTCTAAAAGGAATATTCTATATGTGAAGGTAAAGCTAACCATAGGAAAACACATTACGGTGAGATGTGGTGGTAGCATCATGCTGTGATGATGCAGGTACTACAGTTTAAGCTGATGGGAACATAGATCGTTCTTCATAAGGTTATTGTCTGTGTTCAGTTTAATATCTGTATATGTAATTATGACTTTAAAATTCAGCATCATTTAAACGTATTATTTTAGATGCATTGTAGTTTTATTTAATCACGTTTGTTTTGGTGAGCTTGGGTGTAGCCAAGTCTTGGTTATACATTTATTGGATGGTTGGGGGAACCTTTAGTTTGAAACCCTCTTCAACCTGGACCACATTAAGTGCACCAAGAACCTGCCATTTAAGTCTGGATATTCCATTCTTTACCACTTGAGGATGCATGGCAACCTCAAGCTTCAACCCTGGCTGCTCTATGTGGCAATTATTCAGGTTTGCAATCGCGCTTTTAATAGGATAAAAATGTATAGAGGGCTTGAGGACTCAGGCAAACCTGAGGACTTAGTCAAGGTTGCCTGATGAAGCTCTAGTACCGAAAACGTTGCAAATAATTGTCGTCTTCTGAAAGTTGGACAGTATGCAGGAGTCCTCTTTAAATGTTGATCATTTTTTCTCTTATGCAGCTGTCACGTAATTTAAATGTGCAAAGTGCTCTATTATACTTCTAAATACAAGAAGGTCCTAGATCGAGAGCCTTTAGAGGTGTAAAACGTAGTCACCTTCCAAGAGCAAAAACATAATTACATAGTAGTTTTTGGTTCTGATGAGACAAAAGGATTCAAGTCATTGGTAAGTTGTTGCTGTTTTGAAAGCATCTTTCAAACTTGCTTTTCCTGTGAGCCGATTAGTGTCGCAAAACAAAATGTTTACCTTGAGATGCTTGGATTATTTATTATATGTAAACTGTTTGCTTTGAACGCTGTCTTTGTCCAGGTCGAACCCACCAGTTGAGGGTCCACTGCAGCGCCATCGGCCACCCAATCGTCGGAGACTTCACCTACAGCTTGGGAGCAGATGACTCTCCGTATCGTATGATGCTGCATGCCTATCTCCTCCACATCCCCCTGGAGCCTCAGCAGCTTCTCGTCACAGCCGGAGACCCCTTTGTCCCTGCTGTCGACCCAAAATGGATTTCACAACGCTCACTGAGGACACTGGAGGCCACAGTTGAGGCTGTTTTGGAGCATAGAAAAATTAAAGAGAAGGAAGAAGAGGTGGCAAGAAGAGAGGGGGAGAAGAGGAAGCAAAGCAAGCAACGAAAGATGGAGGAGCAGAGCGAGGAGCAGAGGAGGGCTTGTCAGGAGTGGCTGAGTGAATGGGCGGGGGATTGATAGGACCTTAATGTTTTTGTTTTATTTTAGCTGTTCACACAAACTAACATGCTGACCATTGAAAACATGAAGTACCACGCAAAGTGAGAAGAAGAGCATGAAAGAATGAATGAAGGCGGTAAAACTTAAGGTGTTCATTCCTGCATCTTCGTTCATTAAATCGCATGTATTTTACTGCAGCTAAAAATGAAGTGCCTTCACTCACAGTCAGGAGTTCCCTCTTTAAGAGGTTTTTATTTACATTTTGTATACAACAATGAAAAGAAAACACTTCTTTCATGCAGATGCGTTTCCTTTTTCATGAAGGTTTTAAGCTGTAGAGATTTCCTTGGCCCACATTGTCATATGATGTACCGGTATGTAGTTGTGGAAATCCCAGTCTAAATGTGCTCTATGCATTTTTGCTGTTTGATATTTTTGAGTCTGTTTAAGATTATTCACTCCCACTTGGTCTCATGCTTGAAATGACCAGAATCCAAACAGATTTGTATCATTATTACATCTTGGTTGAATATACCAGCAGATGGTGGCTACTCAGTGGGGCAGCGGGAAGTACTGCTGCCTTGCAGCAACAAGGGGTCTTTCTGCATGGAGTTTGCATGTTCTCCCTGAGCATGCGTGGGTTCCCTCCGGGTACTCCAGCTTCCTCCCACAGTCTAAAAACATGACTGTTGAATTAATTGGCTTCTCTGAATTCTCCTTAAGTGTCAGTGTGTGCATGAATGGTTGTTTGTCTCTGTGTTACCCTGGGATGGACTGGCGACTTGTCCAGGGTGTACCCCGCCTCTCGCCTGTAGACAGATGGAGATAGGCACCAGCACCCATTGCAACCCCAGTAGGGATGGAGCGTGACAGAAAATTAATTGATACCAACAGATGGAAGAAACTATAACACATATTTAGACAACATCTGAAGTAGGTTAAACGTGCTTAAAAGAAATGCTTAAAAACACTGCTGATGAGTTTTTTTTATATGTCCTCTTTTTTTTCCGAAACAAATCCAGTTCATTGCAGTCGAATCATATTGTCAGACCAAATTGCATGCAGTTCACTTGGTTCAATCATTAATGCAATGATGTGGTGGGTTATCCGTCTAAAGAATCACAGCTAACTGCTTTGTTTTTGGCTTTGTGGTAATCTCTAATCTCAAGTAACATACAGGTTGCAGCAGTGAAGATGAACCGCTATTTATCCAGCGATAAATGACAGCGCAGTGAGAGAAGCACGGCTAACCGGGGAATCAACAGGCCGGGACTGATTATCTGGGAATGTATAAAACTGCACTAGGTTAATAGTTTTTTTTTTCTTTGCTTTTAAAAGGGAAATAAACATTGTCAAAGAAACAACTGACTGGGAGACACTTTCTATAGGATACTAAAAAAAAATAAGAGTATACAGAGAAAACATTAACAATATCTCCCTTGACCGCCATTAGAATGTTTTCCTTGAGGAAAACATTCTAATGGCGGTCAAGGCTGCAATTGCTCAGTTTAAATAACTTTGGTCAGGACAAAGAAAAAAATAAACAGATGCACTTGGTTATGAGAACTGGAAAAGAAAAAGAGTTGACAGTGATTGCCTGCAAAAACTCAACAAATCACTCTTTCAATAAAAGTCTTAAAAATCTAAATAAAAATAAGATTGCAGTAAGTTTGCTGCAGGAAGGAATAATAACTTTGTCCTAAACAGAGAAACAGTGGAGACAGCTGTCTAAAGTAGATTATTGCTGAGATTTAAACATTGAATGTGTTGAAAACTTGATCAGGGAGGCGCGCGTGAAACTACACTACCCAGGAAAGATGGCAAAAGCAGCGGGACGACGATAAAACTGGAAGGTAGCTTTACAGTATAAAAAAAAAAAAGTTGGTATAATGAGGAAACCATTATATCCAGATTATGTTTTTGTCATACAAGGTTAAATGGTACATTATTTAAAATGGGAAAACATCCAACAGGAAATTTTTATTTTTGTTTTCAAGAAGAGACAGTAAAACATGTTTTGTTGGTCTTTTCTAAATTTTCTGTTGAGGGAAGGGAAATAGTTGATTAAAAGAAAATAAATTGTAATTGAATATACAAGATTGGTCAAACTTTCAGCTTCTAAATGTTGTTTTATTTATTTAATGAATTACCTTAAGAAAACGAAATTGATAGAAAGAATATACGATCTATTAACTTAATCATAATTTTATATTATATTTATTTATTTTTTGTTTTGTGGGAGAATTTATATATAGCATCCCGATCCACACCGTTCCCGTAGACGGCGGTAATGTACATTAATAAGTTGCTTGCTAACAACCATAAAAAAAAGCAGAAGAAGAAGTTTTTTTTTTTTTTTAAACAAAACATTTACAATAATTTACAAAATACAGTTGAAAACTCAGATCAACAATACATTTTTACACGAGCAGATTGTTATATTTTAGCTCTCCCTCGTCAGAAATGGTGCACAAAACACTATTAAAACCCTATAGTTGTAAAAGACCCTTCAAATCAAATCAAAAGAAGAAGAAAACTGTTGATCATGGAGGCGCGCGTGAAACTACACCACCCACAATTCCGTTCGGTGAAGTCACGGCTTTGGGGAAGTGCGGAGAAAGCAAAGCCATCCAGCCGTGAGGTATCCGAGCGGGTTGACAGCTGTTAGCGGTAAAACAGAAGCACTTTTTCTTATCATCTGAGCTGCTTTGTACCGAGACGGCAGCTGAAATGTCCGCGGAGGTTTTTTCCTATGAGAGTTTAGTTCATGCTGTGGCAGGAGCAGTGGTGAGTTACCTTCACTTTCAATCTCTTTCCCTTATTTACTTTAATGGAAGCTTTTTTTTTTTTTGTCAGTTTACGCAATTTCGACTTGATGACACATATATTTCTTTAAAAATGCTTAAAACTCCCTTTTTTTAGGGAAGTGTGACTGCAATGACAGTATTCTTCCCATTGGATACTGCTAGATTACGACTCCAAGGTAAACAACATTTACATACTGTTCAGTTTAAAGACATTTCAATTCTAGATTTTAATGACTTATTTTCTTTGAGTTCAGTGGATGAAAATAGAAAGGCCAAATCTACACCAGCTATTCTGGCTGATATTGTCAAAGAAGAAGGACTGTGAGTATTATGATGTTAATAGATCACAGTTAAATTATTAAAGAATAGAAATATATGAGTTTAAAAATGTTACTGCTGCTTCTATGTAGACTAGCTCCCTACAGAGGATGGTTCCCTGTCATCTGTAGTCTGTGCTGCTCCAACTTTGTCTACTTCTACTGCTTCCACTGGATAAAGAATGCCTGGCTCAAGGGCAGGCTGTCAACTCCTAGCACTGATCTCATTGTAGGCATTGCTGCAGGTGAGCTGATCTCCATCTATAATTGGTTTTAAACATTTTGTTTAAGATTTTTATCAGCCAACTTGCTTTTCCAGGTGTTATAAATGTTCTACTGACCACTCCTCTGTGGGTGGTCAACACCAGGCTGAAGCTGCAGGGATCCAAGTTTCGCAATGCCGATATCCGGCCCACAAACTACTCGGGCATCCTGGGTAAAAAGAGACACTTTCAAGTTTACACATAATTCCTTGAATGGTTTCTGTGCAGGCCACCATTTTCTTCTTTTAGGGTGGGTGTTTTAAGGGTAACAGAACACATTTGATGTTTCTATGTCTCCCTTGGGACAAATTAACTGAGGCTTTCTTATGGTTTCTGGGTTTTATTTTCATGCCTGTCTTCTGCTATCCTATTTGCGGAGTGTGTGATCTCTGCAGCTCCACTACAGTAACCGTCTGCCTTCCTAAAGTGGCTTCTTAAAAGACGTAACATACACACAGGTGGACTCCACTAAATAGGTGCTATCTGAAGGCATTTTTTTTTACCTGAGTAAAAGAGACTGATTTAAATGCAAACCATACATTTTATGTAAAACAAAAAAATATAAAATATCATCATGATTTTAATCTCACCATCAAAATAAGCACTTTGTGTTGTCTATCAAATAAAATTCTTGTGATGTGAAAACATGTGGAAAGGTTTTTTGTCATTTTTTGCAGATGCATTTGAGCAGATCATCCGTAAAGAAGGTGTTGGAGCCCTCTGGAACGGGACCTTCCCATCCCTGCTGCTGGTGATGAACCCCGCAATCCAGTTCATGATTTACGAAGGTCTGAAGAGGCAGCTGAGGAGAGGGGTTCCCAGGGAGGTGGGTTGGAGGGAGGTCGTAGCTTTCGCATATTATCTGGATGAGAAGATGGTTTAAATGCAGGCAGGCTTGAACCATGGAGGGCTGAGTTGTGATCTGTTTTGCTTGCTAACCCTCTAAGCTTTCGTCGCTGGAGGTCTTCATCATCGGAGCTGTCGCCAAAGCTGTTGCCACCACTGTTACATACCCACTGCAAACGATCCAGTCCGTCCTCAGGGTGGGTTTTATTTATTGGTCTTGTTCAAAGGCTTGGACTTTTGGCCTTAATTTTTTTTTTTCTGCCTTACTCTCTTATCAGTTCGGTCAGTTCAACACACCAAAGGAAAGGTCCAAACTTCTGTCCAGTCTACAGACCATCAAAGGTCTACTGGTAAACAGAGCAAGGTGAGGATTCAAACGAAACATATTCTTCACTTTGAAATCTAGTTGCTCTAAGTAACGCATGTTGGAGCACATGTATAAACTTGCAGGGAAATACACTGGAAGTTCTTGAGAAAAGTGAGGAAAAAAGTGGGGCAACCAGTTCAGAACGGGTTATAGCACTTCCAGGTTAAATCTTTGCAGAATAATAATAACACCCTTTGAAACTGGTTATTCAGACAAATAGAGTTCATTTGTGTGAATTCTTCAGTCTTCATTTAAGTACAGTTTTGTTTAGTGTTTCCACTAATGCTGCATTCACACCGGACGCAGCAGAAGCAGCGAGTTTACATGCAAAGTCAAGGGTTGAAGCGCATCAAGGCGCAGCAAAATGTCCCACAGCGCGTTTTGAGCAGCAGGCGCAGCGCGTCGGGAGCGTTTAAGCATCTGATGCGCGCGACGCACCGCAAACACCCTGCTGCTCGAGATGGAAAAATTTAACTTTTGCTGCTTGACGCGCCACATCAACCAATCAGAAACACTGATCTGGGAGATGCCAGGGAGAGAGACACATCGTTGATGATACAGAGCGCTGTGATCACTCCTCTGAAACAGTTTATTAAAGCCTAAATTAACTTAAAATGCTGTAACCTGCCGACAAAGCGCATTTGCTTTTATTATGCTGGTCCCTGCAGTTTGGATTATGTACATGAAAACCACCTTCCAGCCGCCACCGCGAACCGCGAGGAAGCGACCAGGCCATAGGCTGCTGTTAATTGGGATTCCTACTGACAGCGCACCGCTGGTATGTGGGGGTCTGAGCGGCTCCGACAGAAATAATATTGGGAGGCAGGATGGTAATCTGAATGAACTGACTGCACTGATTAAGTTTTCAGGTGGATTTTCTCACTTAAAAACATAATGAAACTACTTTATTCCCACTGATCACAGCAAATATAGCTGCAAGGCAAAGAAAGGATAGTGAAGCTCGGCCCATTGCGCGTCAGAACCACTTTTTCACCGCGCAGCTAGAGCAGCAAAGCTGCTTCAGCCGTGTGTCAGAACTAAACTGGTACAAGCAGCAAAAAGGAAGCAGCAGACGCGATTTTGCTGCTCCTGTTGCGTCCGGTGTGAACGTAGCATAACAGACTACGATCAGAGGCCCGTACCAGGAAGCAAACCTAACCTATCGGGATAACTCCCATCCAGTTTAACCAATCCACAACAATGGAATTCAGGATCAGCAGTACCAAAAAACTGGTTATCAACTTGTTAACTCATTCCAGTTTGAATTAATCATGAATCTTTGAACGCACACACATAAAGGGGCGGGTTCAAGGTAGCAGAACAATCACAACCATGAGCGCAGAAGGGAGAGAGCCATATTTCTCCTGTGAGGAACAAAAACTCATCTTACAGACATACAAAGAAGAAAAAAAGTCTCAACGAAAAGTCAAACATGGTGGTGGCGTTCTGACTACGTTAATGAGCAAATTGGAGATCAGTGACATTTAACACAGACTGCATCCCAGTCACTGTACAGCATGTTAATGACGTGCCCCTCTGGAGTGAAGAGGACTTGCAGCAGATAACAATAAAACACAAAAGCATTATTTCTTCTGGTTCATTGAACTTTATAATATAATTCAATAATGTATGTGCTACAATAGAGCTAGAAGCTGATGCCGCAATTGCATCATATTAATATAAGAAGTGATCAGTCTGAGTGAAATCAACCTGATTTTTGAGCTGTGTCAGAAATCAGCTCACTTAAATTTAACTTTGTAGC